TCCTCGTCTCCCAGGGGCCCAGCCCCTGCCCGCCTGGCGGGGGGCCAGGCAGCAGCCCTGTTCTGCCCTGATTGTACCCAACCCCCAACCGCAGAGGGGAGGTCCCTCTGCCTGAGACGCCCGGGCCCCCACATACCCTCGGCCCAGAGCCAGGCGGGCACCGGGGGAGCCGTGTGCCCTCCCTTCCTCGGGAGCTGTTCTCCGCATTCACTGGGACGGGCGCTGGGAACGCCCTGGGCCTCGGAGGACGGGCTGACACCCACTCACCTCCCGGTGATTGTAGGCGTCTCACTCACCAGAATCCCATATCCGCCCCCAGGAACGCTTCCTGCAGCCCCGGCCGGTTTGGCTCCGGGGATAGAGTGTCGGCCCAAGGACGGGAGGGTCCCCGGAGAACCGAGCGTAGGCCCCAAAAGCCGAGCGAACCCCAAAGAGCCGAGATACGCCCCCGAGAGCACAGCCTACGCCCCGCAGGCCTAGCCAAGCCCCTCACGGCTGAGCCCAGGCCAGAAGGTCGGAGCCTCAGCGTCTGGCGTGGCCCCAAGGAGTTGAATCAAGGCCAGAAGAGGAAAATCTCGTCCCCACGGATGGTCTTAGCCCCGAAGGGCTGACCCCGGCCCGGAGGGCGGAGCCGAGGCCCTCAGAGGCAGACCTGGTCCCCCAGGGCCTGCCCAGCCGCGAGGGGCAGAGCCCAGGTCTGCAGAGCCCTGTGCTGGGTCGAGGAAGCTTTGGCTTCATTCGCTCACTTACAGGAGCAGAGAGGGGGCCCGACGCTGAGGGGCGAGGCCTGTAGGGGGTGGCAGGCCGGGTCCCCGGCCCTGGTCAGGGGCACACGCGGGAGGCACCCGATCGCCCTGTCCCTCACGTCGAGGCTTCTCTCTGCGTCTCCCCCTCCCTTCTACTCTGTCTAGAAACCGACGGGGAAATGTCCTCGGGCCCCAGCCGGCTCGGCTCAGTGGGAAGCGGGTAGCAGGTCAGCCCGGGTTCGATTCCGGTCGAGGGCACGTACCTCCCTTGCAGGCTCCTCCCCGGCCCGGCCCTCACCTTGGTGTCTCTCCGTCTCTCTCCCTCTCTCTCCCTCTCTCTCCCATTCCCCCTAAAAATCGATGGGAAATATCCTCGGGTGAGGATTAACAACAACAACAACAAAGTCAGGAAAGCTTCCTCCTCTACAGCATCTCTTCAGTCCCTGGGATAGGACCCTGCCCTCCACCCAGCCGACCTCCAGGACTTGGCGTCAAGGCAACATCCATCCCTCCTTCCTCGCCAGCCACCCCCCCCACCCCGCTCCACCCCGCTACCTCCCCCGATGGCAGCCCTGACCCTGCCCCTCTCCTGCTCTGAACCACACCCTGTGGCTCCCAGTGTCGACGCAGAAAATAAGTTGCTATAACCACAGGGCCTCTCCTCCCTCCGGCCCTGCTGGAGGCGGGGTTCCCACGTCACCATTTGGCCTCTGACCTCCGGCCCCTGGCCTCTTGACTCCCCAGATCCCCAGAGCCGCGTGTGTCTGGGCCGGGCACGGAGCCAAGAGGATGGGGACTACATCAACGCCAACTACATCCGAGTGAGTGGCCGGATGGCCGGGTGGGGGCTGGGGTGGGGGTTCCTCCTGTGGGGGCCGGAGGCTTCCGGCTCAGACCCACGGCCGTCCTGCCGGGCCGGCCCAGGTACTGACGTCCCCACAACACCCTCCAGAACACAGCAGAGGTCTCCCCTCTCCCTCTCCCTCTCCCCCTTCTCCTCTCTCCTTCACTGCCTGTGCAGTAGCGCCCTCTAGGGGCCTGAAGCGGTAGGACAGGGGTCAGCAGGTGCAGGGAGGTAGAAGGCGGTGAGGCTGGGACCCTGGGGAACTGGATCCCCACCTGCCGGCAGGTGAGCCAGGTGGACCGAGGTCCGGCTCAGAGAGAGGAGGGCTGGCCAGACGGGGCTTCGTCTCGCTCCTAAGTGCACGGGCGCAAGATGCAAAGGGAAACATTCACCCCACGGAGGTCGAGGCGTAGCTTCGTGTTTTGTGCGGGGAGAACGCGGGGGAGAGGGGAGCCGAGGGTTTAAAGAGGCCTCATGTGCGCTGGTCCCGCGGTAACTGAGTCTGGCCTGCACTGTGTTCCTGCACGGCCGGGGTGGTGCCCAATTCACAGATGGGGAGACTGAGGCTCACGGAAGCCGGTCGCTTGCTGGTGGTGGCACAGCCAGCCAGCAGCCGGACAGGGGTGGCACCCAGATGGTCCTCACCCCAGAGCCCACGTCCTTCCCACGGTGTGCTTCTGGTGTGTGCATCTGTGCATGTGTCTGCGTGTGCACGCGTGTGTCTACGTGGGCACACCTGCGTTCTATATGCGCATGTGTGTCTGTGTGTGCACGTGTGCAGCCGTGTCTGCGTGTGCATGCGTGTGTCTACGTGGGCACACCTGCGTTCTATATGCGCATGTGTGTCTGTGTGTGCAGCTGTGTCTGTGTGTGCATGTGTGCACATGTGTGTGCATGCGTGTCTGTGTGTGCGCGTGTCTGTGTGTGCATGCGCATCTGTGTGCACATGTGTCTGCGTGTGCAGCTGTGTCTGCATGTGCATATGTGTCTGCGTGAGCATGCGTATATGTGTGCGTGCGTGTCTGTGTGTGCATGCATGTCTGTGTGTGCACATGTGTCTGCGTGAGCATGCGTATACGTGTGCATGTGTGTCTGTGTGCGCATGCGTGTCTGTGTGTGCACATGTGTCTGCGTGAGCATGCGTATATGTGTGCATGTGTGTCTGTGTGTGCATGCGTGTCTGTGTGTGCATGCGTGTCTGCGTGTGCGGCTGTGTCTGTGTTCGCGCATGTGTCTGTGTGTGCATGCGAATCTGTGTGTGCATGCGAGTCTGTGTGTGCATGCATGTCTGTGTGTGCATGTGTGTCTCTGTGCACGTGTGTCTGTGTGTGCATATGTGTCTGCATGTGCACGTGTGTCTGCGTGTGCAGCTGTGTCTGTGTGTGCAGCTGTGTCCGCGTGTGCAGCTGTGTCTGTGTGTGCATGCGTGTCTGTGTGTGCAGCTGTGTCTGCATGTGCACATGTGTCTGTGTGTGCATGCGTGTCTGTGTGTGCAGCTGTGTCTGCATGTGCACATGTGTCTGTGTGTGCATGCGTGTCTGTGTGTGCACGTGTCTGCATGTGCACACTTACTGCTTCAGCCTGATCCTAGGACCTGCAGAGCGTGGGTTCCCCGGAGTCTCCTCTCGCTGTTCCTCAGCCTCCCCCTGTGCGCCCCCCGCCCCCCCGCCAGGGCTACGACGGGCAGGAGAAGGTCTACATCGCGACCCAGGGCCCCATGCCCAACACGGTGGCGGACTTCTGGGAGATGGTGTGGCAGGAGGAAGTGCCGCTCATTGTCATGCTCACCCAGCTCCGCGAGGCCAAGGAGGTAGGAGCAGAGCCCCGCCCACACCCCCCCACACACACCCCCACACACACACCCCGACTCGGGGCAGCTCAGAACCCCCTGGAGGCCGAGAGCACGTGTAGGCAGGCCCAGCGTGCCCGACTCAGGGTCCCTGAGATGCACCCCGTGGAGCTGGGTGAGCACCTCATCTGCAGGGGA